AAAAGATAATTAAGTTTTATCAGCTGAGTTGATAACGTGAATTGACCACCGTAAGTAGTTTCTAAGCGGACGTTTTGAGCGTTATAGCCTTTACCTATTGGTTTAACAAAAGGTAAGTGCAAGAGGTTTAAGATCTTCGTCATTTAAGAAGTGAGACAACGCACTAAGAACTGGCTCGGAGAAGGAGCTCCACAGCCTAAATATCCTTAGTTGTTGCTCACAGACTCAAGATTTTTCCTGTCCTATCATATCAGGCTTCGCAAAATAAGATAATAAGGAATTTTTTTATCAGTCAAACGAGTTTTGACACGAGCACAAACTTAGCAAACACATTTTTAAAATGATAGTTGGATGAAAGCTGGTGAGTTTAAAGCAATCGGTGACTATATTTATGTATGAACTATGCACTGATATGTTCTTTTTTTTTTACCCAATTTACGAAGTTTCCATATTTGTCTGTAAACTGATTGAATACATCTTGTAACTTGCAGCTAGAGAAAATAACGTGAGCCTTATGATTGCAGTCGCAGCGCGCTCAATAAAATCTGTGACCTTTTCGCTTATAATAGCTGTCCACATGGATGATCTGGCCAAAAATCAATTTTGGCATGTGGCGACCAATTTTGAAACATGTGTCCTAAATCCTTTTCAGGGGCAAAATATGAAAGAAAACGTTTTTTTTGACAGGTAGTCGAGGGGACCGCTATTAGCGAGAGTGCAACTTAAAAGACATGGCCTGCGAGAGGCTGGCGCCGAGTATATCTCAGGCTCCTTGCGTTAGGCCCAGCATTAAATGCGCGGTGAGCCATGCAATTTGGTAGAAACCCATTCAATTTAAAGTGAACCGTTCAATAGTGACCCATCCTATTTGGTGAGCAATTCAGTAGTGAGCCATTCAACTTGGTACTACTAATTTTGACACAATCCACCCGCCAAAGTTACATGCCATAAACGTATCTTCTTCGAACAAATGTTTACGATTCGAGATGATCGATATTTGTTGCTGAGTTATAACTAATTCTAAGGCGGGAAAGTACCGTTCCTAACAGTTAAATACTTTTCTGCTCTCTTAAATACATTTTTTTCTGCAATCTTTGATACGTTTTTGCTTTGTGTGGACATTTCTTTGTCTCTCATTAGTTTTTGTAGCGTACTGCCTAAAGAGGCGGAAGCTACTATGCTGTCCTTCTGAGTGAGGGGGTGTAACAATAGAATCCGAGCCCACAACGAACTCTGCCGATTTTGATCCGATGTTCATGCTTAACTTGGTGTCTTTGATAACAATGCAAAAGGTGATTGCTTACATTTATCGATTATTCTAGATATTCACTTCTTAGCAAATAAACAGCAAAGCTTGTAGACATATATGTTTATTCGAGGAGGATGAAGGGGGCAATTTTCTAGAGAAACTGCGGTGCTGCATCGTTAGGGAAATTTAAAGAGATAACATAGTTTTATCAACCAAGTTGATAACGTGAATTGACCACCGTAAAGAGTTTCTACGCGAACGGTTTAAGCGTTATATCCTTTTGTCAGAGCGAATGACGCAAACATTCTCAAGTCAGTGTAAACAAAAATGCAAGAGCTATTTCCCAGTCAATTTACATAAACGCATAAGAACTTAAACTTCTCGTCATTTATTTTTTTGTATGATAACATATATAACATTCCTAACCTACGAGAAAGAATCATTCACTTTTCAGTGCCTTGTAATGCATATATTCTATTGCTTTTAAATGAACAGAATATTTACAACAAAACTTCTTTTGCTGATCAACAATGAACCCAGATTCAGTTGTCCTTGTAGACTCCTAACTCAAGATCTGCTGACATTACCCATTGGTTTAACAAAAAGAAAGTGTAGGGATTAAAGGGCTTCACCATTTAAGAAGTGAGACAGCGTACTAAGAACCATATACTGGGCCCTGATAAGGGACTGGTCATTAAACAACAAAAAGGGGGGGAAGGGGAGGGTGAAATAGCGTTGCTCCATTTTCTGCATACAAAACACACACACACAACCCAAGATTTCTCCATTCGCTGTGACGAAGGGCTAACCATCAAAACGTCAGCTTTGAAACTGTTGACGAACAATAAGAGAACGAGTAAACAAAAAGAAAACGCTCTATATTCCAAAGGTTTTTGTGGACGAATTTCTCGAAAGTGGCGGGGAGACAAGAGAAATAAATCGGAAAGAAAGTTGTTTAACTGTGCAAACTATTGAAAATTATGGAGAAAAGTTTTCTTTCTTTTAATTCTGTTTTTCGTTTCATGAGTGCTCTGTGTCGGAACCCACCGGAATAAAAGAAATGGAAAGAAATTTTCTCAAAAACTTCTCTTGACTGGCGAAGCAATTTTACCAAGATATATCAGATTACTAAAGATAAAGAACTCGTGCAATTTTTATCTAAAATATTACACAAGATAATCATTACTTAAAAGAACTCAAGAACTTTGATATTGCAACCAACAACCATTGCGATTTCTGCTCTAGGGCAGATTCCATAATACATTTCTAGAGTACAATGTCTCTATTTTAATATATTCAAGTAACATAAAGGGGCTTACGATGTACGCAAATTAAATGTGAGTCCTCAGGACAGAAGTTCTTTTCAACAGAGTTTATTCAATCTGATTGATGAAATAGCTTCGTTGACGCCCATCCAAAAGCGCAGACTGGATCATCTCTAGCTTCTCATGAAACACTATGCTTATTCGTGTATAGGATAATAAGGAATTTTTTGATTATGCAAATGAGTTTTTACACGAGCACAAATTTAGCAAACAGATTTTTAAAATGATGGTTAGATGAAAGCTAGCTAGCACTAATATGCTTTTGTTTACAAAGTTTCCATATTTTGTTTATAAACTGACTGAACCATATCAAACTCTTTCCCCAGTGCGACGAACATTTGTTTTTCTCGGTTCCAGGTGTACGCAACCACAAAGCCCATGTAATGCGCATGCTCCCCGTTACGAATTTTCAAAATGGCGGACAGGTCAAAGAGGGAAATTAAAAAACACAAAGCGATTTTGCAATGAATTCTCAACATACACCCTCGTTAGAAAGGCGAATCCACGGGAGAAAGATACAAAACTGCTTGATATTGAGATCGATATGATATTAAATCGATACCGAGGGCCCGTTTAATTGCCTTCCACCACGATTATTAGCTTTCTTGACAGCTTTCTGAAGGCAGAATACTTTCTTTCTGAAGACTTCTGATATGCGGCTATTGATTATTACACCTCGTATACCTGATTGCTCAAACACTTTGTTTACGATTGTTGAAAGGACCGACTCATGGTTCTCCGTCTTCGTCTTGACATTGCTTTGAAATAGTATAGACTAGTAAGCTGAAACGAAAAATTAATCAGGGAAGTTTACGAAAAATCCAGCAAACAAGCTTTAAAAAGGCATTTATTTAGACTTCATACTTCAACGAACTTCACAAATCTTACTTGTTTCTCTTGTAAGTAAACGATGGTAGATTAATTCCCGAAGCGCTTTCTGAGTTTCCCGATCCCTCTCCTACTGCTTTCACGCTTACAAAACAGGAAAAATCAAAAGGAGGAAGATATAGCTGTTTTGAAACGCGATTTGACGATAGTAAATGTGCTTTTTGTTCGACACTTTACATATCAAAACAAAGGAAATTTGTTCCTCTTTTTGATTCTGGCGGTACATTTTTAATTTGCGCCTGCGTAAAAGAGATATCGCCCGAGACCCTTCGCTCGATCGTGTTTTGATCAAAAACGCCTTGTTAATTTCACGCAACCGCTCGGAGAAAAGGTAAAAATGACGAGGGAAAAACTTTACCTTCAAGTTAGAAAATTAGCGAAATAGAAAGCCACAATATTATAGTTTAATATTTCAGAGGTACATGGAGTGCTTTTTCCGTAGAGAATCCGCACGATGGTAAAACATTCGAAAATTACACTCGATTTGAGTGGGGTGTTGAAGTGGGCGTGGTCACTACATTCATGTTAAGACTATTTGTACCCCATGAGTTTGATATGCATCTTGTAACTTGCACTAAGAGAAATTACAGTGAGCCTTATGATTGCAGTCGCAGCGCGCTCGATAAAATCTGTGAAATTTACACTTACCGTATTTACTTGGATATAAGCCGATCCTGGCTATAAGCCGAGACCCCAAACTTCCAATTTGTAAACTCAGCGGCATCATCACGAAAAATTAAACCAAAACATTCGGCTATAGGCTGAGACCTATTTTAGAACGCAATTTTCATAAAAAGACAGAGACTTCACAAAAAAAACTAACTGACTGTCATGAATATTTAGAAGGATCGAAAAGTATAAGAAGATAGATTGATCTCTCCGGAAACACACGTAATCGCACAGCGTTAACCGATAATTAATTAATATTAATTTAGGCTACTGAACTGAAAGCGACATATCACAGTCAACATGAATTTAATGTGATCCTACCGAGTCAATAAAACTTAGTAAACGCCACTAAGTAAACAATCTGAGAAAAGGAAGTGGATGATGAATTCGATACCGACAGTAGGGCGACGAGCAGTATGAACAGGTCGCTTCAACTACAAACAAACGGCTCCTTTAAGAGCCACCACAAAATAAAAAAGTTTATGACCAACATGCTGTACCCTGAGTTTATTTTATTTATTTTCGCTCGGCTTATAAACGAATACGTGCCCATTTATCATTGTTCTAATAAGTCGAAAAAGTTTTGTTTTAGGAAAAATCTTGGCTATAGGCCGAACCCTCTTCTATAGATCAGATTTTACCAAATATTAGCATGAATTTGTGTAAAAATCGCTCGGCTTATAGCCAAATAAATACGGTATAAAAGCTGTCCACACGGATTATCTGGCCAAAAATCAATTCTGGCATGTGGCGACTTATTCTGAAACATGTGTCCTAAATCCTTTTCAGGGGCAAAATATGAAAGAAAACGTTTTTTTTTGACAGGTAGTCGAGGGGACCGCTATTAGCCAGAGCGCAACTTAAAAGACATGGCCTGCGAGAGGCTGGCGCCGAGTATATCTCAGGCTCCTTGCGTTAGGCCCAGCATTAAATGCGCGGTGAGCCATGCAATTTGGTAGAAACCCATTCAATTAAAAGTGAGCCATTCAATGGTGACCCATCCAATTTGGTGAGCAATTCAATAGTGAGCCATTCAATTTGGTACTACTAATTTTGACACAATCCACCCGCCAAAGTTACATACCATAAACGTATCTTCTTTGAACAAATGTTTGCGATTGGAGATGATCGATATTTGTTGCTGAACTCTGACTAATTCTAAGACAGGAGACGTACCGTTCCTAACACATTCGTGACAAAAATACTTTCTGCTCTCTTCAATACATTTTTGTTCTGCAATCTTTGATACGTTTTTGCTTTGTGAAGACATTTCTTTGTCTTTCATTAGTTTTTTAGATAGTGGCCAAGTTTGTGCGGTCAAGATGGCTTGATATCAGCCTCGTTGTTTTTTATGCTGTTATATATGGACCAAGACGAATTTTGAAAATATTTGACCCCTCTACGCCTGTGGT